GTAAAAGATATGAACAAAATATAAGTGTGACTTACAGTTGTTGTCGTAGATGTTATAAGCAATATCTAATTTACCTAATATACAAACGCGAAGGAAAATATAAACATATATTTATCCTACAGTAGACTACGAAGCGTCGAATGTATATGAATAATCAACTAGATGCGACAAGTGGACAGAATTATTCGCAAAAATTATTCATAATTAATTTTTTATTTCAACTACGACTCTTTATCATTAAATAACTGACGTTCCGAATGATACACATGCAAATGTCGACTATTAAATATTTATGTCGTGAATCGCGAAGTCGTAAAGCTGTTAATTTTTTAATCGAGAACAAACGCGTGACTGTCTAGAAAATACAAACGATTAGAATTAGTTACATAATTCAAGGTCTAGTTCAATGACGCTGACAGTAGTTTAACAAGGTTTTTATGTGTAAGTGTTTTATTTTTTCTCGAATCGAGAACACTAGGCAGTCATTCTAACGATAACACGAATAACAATGATCAACGTGACGAAATTTTTTGTGAAGGAAACAATTATCGCCTTTTGTCTAATGCTCGTACAAAGACGACCTACTTTTCAGTCCTTTCCTAACTTTGCCCTATTTCTGAAACTCGTTTTCCTCGGCTAATAACTTAACCGGTAAAATCATGTGTCTAATAAATCCTCGAACGTTAAGAATATTCCACTCGTATCCTCTTACAGAACAAGACTCGTACAGCGATCGAGATTCATTAAATATAACGATTACAGCAAGGTTCAATCGACTTCTGAACGGATCAGCGATTACGTAAAAGGTAATATATACGTGTCATGTTGTTTAATCCAAAGAGAATTAATTCTACCCTCGAACGAAAACTCACGTGGCTCGAGTCCTCCAGATGCCACGTCGAACTCTGTCACACGAGAAACTCTTACCTGAAACAAGAAAATTGATTTTACAGAATGACTTGTCGTTTTGCGACGAGTCTTTAATCGGTCGTTTTTGCTTGAATGAATTTCAATTGCAGTTTTAATTACCGATTGGTCGCAAAACAGTGGATTTGAATGTGGATTTCTGTGAATTTCAATTACGAATTGGTCGTGAAATAATAGGGGATCAGAGGAAAGAAGTTATTACGCCGTGCAGAAAGAACTTTATTAGCAAGTTCATGAAGCGGTCTAGAAAAATAATGCCGGAACCTCCTTCCGCAGCCGACACAACGAGCAATTTCAGAAAGAAAGGTTGCGCCAGCTTCCGCGTTACTTTCCTACGTGATACTGAAATTTCACGATGTCCACGGCTCATTTTTATTCCTTCTTCCATGGATCTATTAAATCTATTCAAGAAAACTACATTCGCTATTTCACAGAACACAGCTTACAGCATTAACCCTTCGCGTGCCATTTGTAAATTGAATAAAAACGAGGAAACGTTACATCATAATGTATAATCCGAGGTACAAATAAAGAGAAAACAGCAGAAAATACGAGAAACTCGATTGACGATTACATTTATCGCCATGAAAAATAAAATATCGGGGGCGTAATTCGCCGGTGTATCTAATTTCGGAAACGATCCCGCAATAGTTGCACACGATCGAACGATTTACCAGTTTCTCTTTCGTTTTTCCGTCTGCTCGGCGAGCATCGTTCGACAATGTTTTCCGCGTTAACGGCGAACGATCCCGATTCGAAGCGGTCCTCTTAAAACTTTCTCGCGAACGAGTCGAGTTCAGTCGCTTTTTTCCCCGGCGTTTTCCACGAAGAAAAATCCGCGCCGCACACTCGAAAGAGGAGTGTAATTCTGAACGATTGCAAATGGAGTTCCCCTGCGTGCGGCTCCGCGATCGAGATATACAAGTCCACGTGGTTTTTATCGATTCGGTGTTTGCTCAGTTTAATTCCGCCGAGTTGCTTTCCTTCCTCTTTGTTCGTGTTCGGTGATTTCGTAAATTGTATCGGAATTTATTAGCGGCACTTGCTGGACACTGCTTTTTCCGAGCAACGTTTCCAGGCACCTTACATAGAAACATTCGAGATCATCGGTACCGATAGCGTTTCTCGATTCCACAAATTAATAAACGCAGGATTTTTGGATCATTAGCTCGATCAAGCGAGCAACTGATTAACCCAACGACGAGTACAGGTTTTATCAAGCTTTGTTGTGCTTGTTTTATTTGACTGTTATATTCATTTTCCCCACTTTACAATTACAACACTTCCCCCTTCCACAATTATAACACTATTGCCATAACCACAAAAATATAATACATTCATCATTGCATGGAACACCGTTTTCTCAGCATCGCAAAATGAAATGGATTACATTCCACCCGAATTTCCCCATTTTCGAGACATTTTTTTTTGAAAATTGCCATTAACGTCTTCTACGCATCCCGTTGCGTTACGTAACTAGATCCCTCTAAAACGTATCATCTTACACGAAACGATTCCATAAAGAAAATTAGCGTGGATATCTGCGTAAAATAGGTAAAAGCACTATGCCGAATCTCTGAACGAACTTGCAGCGCAAGCGGTTAAAGGATCGAGTAAAGACCGACCGATTTGTCCACCAATTTCCCATGAATAGCGAGAGAAGAAGGAACAAGTTGTTAGTTTATGGGTTAATAGCGATACACGTCTGCTTCCTCGTCGTCTATTAAAATCGTTTTCACGGTCAGGAAGGCTGGTAATGAAGGCGCGGGATAAGACCGGAATCAGGCGGAGAGAGAGGAACAGAAAGAGAGAGAGACAGGTCACGTAACGTAACCACCGGAGAGGCTCGTAGAAGGGAACGAGCGTGGCAGAAGTTTACATCGGTGAAACACTTTCTCCTTTCGCCAGTTATGAGATCACCATCTCGGTTTTCCACCGCGACGACATAACTCCGTCAATTTGTTGCCTCTAGTCGACCAAACGCCGCGAGCCGCGCTCGGACGTCCGATTAACACTGGAACTACCGAGCATTTAATACGATTAATACGCAATTCCCATAAAAATTGTAACAATGGATTATTTTCAGTTCCTTCAGACATTCGTTATAGTACTCAAATGAAGCTATTTATTTTCAAAATCACTTCTTGCTGAACAAAAAAATCGAAACCAGTCATTTTGAATGAATTTAGTTCTAGTGTTAAAGCAGCAAGAACTTGTGCATATGTTCAATATTTTGTTCTATGCCAATATTACCGAGTGCTTATCTTACAAGCACGTTCAATTATTATAAAGTACACTTTTCCAAAATGTTACTTGAACCCTTTTCCTCAAAGCAGAAATCCTAGTAAATAAGCAGTCGTAATTTCTTAATAGATCATCCGCTGGCAATAGCAATTATAATCTTCGTTGAACGAACCATCCCGAGTAACAAAATGTCGTTTCCTTCGGGTGGAGGGCTACCGTTGAAAGGAAATTATTGAGCCGCTTTTTGATAGAAAATAGTCACTAATAATCCTGTTAATAGCTGTGCACTACGAGAACAGAAATTATACGGTATCGAATGGCTCGATGAAAGTTCCGTTCGCGGAAAAGCAATTGTTCTCGGTCATGATTTGATCGATCGTTCGATTGTGAAACCGGAGCAGTTAACTTCTTGCCTCATTGTTCCGTGGGATGTTTGATTTTTGGAGTAGACAACGATAGGGAAGTCTTTAACACCCGATGAATCTGAAGCATAGGAGATTTTGAATTTCAGAATCATTCCGTCGCCAAAAACTTTCTATTTTAAGAACGTTTACGACGTGATGTTAATTTTCTTTTTATTATGCGCGCGAGGAAGTTCCTCGATACGCAATATATGTAATGAGGTATCGTAACAAGGAATGTAAAAACGAATAGTAAACATTCTTTGGTGTCAGTTAGTCGTAAATGATGAGAATTTGTAATATATCAATTTTCATTTCTTCATGAAATTCGATTTTTTTCTAAACGAAACGAACTCTATTCCACATTTTCAATTTATCGTGGTTACACTGCCAAACCGTCTCTTCTTCGATCGCACGATACCGCATTGTTTATGTTGTACCTTGAACAATTCTTAAGACGGATTTAATAGAACTTCGATGAGATCTCGTAGACGGGAAAACATTTTCAAGATCTATGTCGTAGGTAAACAAGCAATAACATTGAGAGTACGTGTATCCTACAGAACGATGATGTAATACACTTTCTAAACAAGATCATAAGGCGTTAATGGCCTTTAGGTAATTATACATGCTCGCGACAGGTTGATTTTATTTAAAATTTATATACCTGATGCCATACTAGCGTGGAAAATCGAAACGTTCATAGACCAATTTGTGGAACAGTTTTCTAGTGACTATTTTAAACGTAACAGCCTGAAGCGCAATTACTATTTTAATTATAACATTGCTTCTGTTACGTAGCAACTTGTTATTTTTAAATAAACAATTTTCATGTCGTATCGGAAGACACAGTTGGTAGTCACGTTCGAAGATCATTCAGTGTCAAGGTACAGGCGTCAAAGATTGCGACAACAGTTTCCCTTTCAAAACACCACTTTTATGACGTTGAAATATATATTTCCGGAGCAGTTCGCTGCGAGGAAAACCACAGCACTCTGTGCGTTTCCGTAACGATCTTCTGCGACGTAAGCACTGTGCAAATAAGAAATCACCTTAAAATACCCTTTGGAAAGGATAATTCCTCGAAACATCTTATTGACAGAGCAAAGTAAATCTTCGAGAAAGTACTGTCAAATGTCCACAATCGAATTCGAAGCCTGTTTATCAGTCATTTAAAACAGAGAAGGAACAGACCATCGAGCAATTACAGAAACTGGTATTCATCTCGAAATACAATTTTCCAACAAACTAATACCATAATTTACTAAAAGCAGAAAGGCTCAGTTTCTCAGTAAAATAAATAAGAAACAGATCTTCCTCCCGGTCTACTTAAAACCCACTATAACATATTGATGCTAACTAACTCAGTTAGCATCAATCATTCGATTCACTAGGCAAATTTCCAATTCTAACGCCCGCTTCGTTTGCAGAACGACGAGGTCCATGAAGAATCCACCGATCGCGTCAAGGACACGATGCCGAACACGACGATCAACGTGACGTTCCGAGTACCCAGAGTCGAGAGAATCGGCACGCGGCCGCCAGACATCGTCTAGCCAGCACGGGACGTGATGACGCGTGATCCAACGGAATCACGGAATAAACGAGCGAATTCGAAGCTGCATTTCAAGAAGGATGGTGTTCAGCGCGATAGTGGTGACGTCAGCCTTGAAGGGTGCCCTGGGTCTGATGGGCACGAGCCTGTGGCTGATCCCTTTGCTGATAGCCGGCCTGTCCTACTATCGGTACGACCAGCTGGATCCCGAAAGCCGGCCGATCAACAGGTACCCCTTGTACCCGGAGTACGACTTCGTGGTAGTTGGCGGAGGATCAGCGGGAGCGGTGGTAGCGAGCAGACTGTCAGAGGTGCCGAACTGGAACGTGCTGCTGCTGGAAGCTGGTCCCGACGAGAACGAGATAACGGACGTGCCTTCGCTGGCAGCTTACCTGCAGTTGACCAAGCTGGACTGGAAGTACAAGACAGAGCCGACGGGAAGGGCATGCCTGGCGATGAAGGGCGGCCGGTGCAACTGGCCTAGAGGCAAAGTGCTGGGAGGCTCCAGCGTCCTGAACTACATGCTGTACGTTCGCGGCAATCGACACGATTACGACCACTGGGAATCTCTGGGCAACCCTGGCTGGGGGTACGACCAAGCCCTGTACTACTTCAAGAAGTCCGAGGACAATCGTAACCCTTATCTGCAAAAGAGCCCTTACCATTCGACTGGCGGCTACCTGACGGTGCAGGAGTCACCGTGGAAGACTCCTTTAGTGGTGGCCTTCGTGCAGGCGGGCGTGGAAATGGGGTACGAGAACAGAGACATAAACGGGGAGCGGCAGACGGGGTTCATGATAGCTCAAGGCACCATCCGCAGAGGCAGCCGGTGCTCTACGGCGAAGGCGTTCCTGCGGCCGATCAGACTGCGCAGGAACATCCACACTGCCATGAACGCTCACGTCACCAGAGTCCTGATCGATCCCGTCACGATGAGAGCGACCGGCGTGGAATTCGTCAGAGACGGCCGCAGGCAGATCGTTAGAGCTAGGAAAGAGGTGATCCTGTCGGCAGGCGCCATCAACAGTGCGCAGATCCTCATGCTCTCCGGGATCGGACCCAGGGAGCACTTGGAGGAACTCGGAATCCCTGTGCTGAAGGACCTCCGAGTCGGCGACAACCTCCAGGATCACGTCGGAATGGGCGGATTGACTTTCCTCATCGACAAACCGGTGGCTATCGTGCAAGACCGCTTCCAAGCGGCTCCGGTGACGATGCACTACGTGGCGAATGGCAGAGGGCCGATGACTACGCTCGGCGGTGTCGAGGGCTACGCCTTTGTCAACACGAAGTACGCGAACGGGTCCGTTGACTATCCGGACATCCAGTTCCACATGGCGCCGGCGTCGATTAATTCCGATAATGGGATCCAGGTGAAGAAAGTCCTAGGCATCACCGAGGAGGTCTACAACACTGTCTACAGACCTATAGCGAACAAAGACGCTTGGACCATCATGCCGCTGCTTTTGAGGCCCAGATCGCGTGGCACGGTTCGGCTCAGGAGCAACAATCCTTTCCAGAGTCCGCTGATCGACGCCAACTATTTTGCTGACCCCTTCGACATCGCTACTCTCGTGGAGGGCGCTAAACTGGCGATGAAGGTCAGCGAGGCGAAGGTCTTCAAGCAATTCGGCTCGAGGGTGCACAGAGTGAAGCTGCCGGGGTGCAAGCACTTGAAATTCGCGTCGGACGCGTACTGGGAGTGCCACATACGGCACATATCGATGACCATTTATCATCCTGTCGGGACCACGAAGATGGGTCCTCCCACCGATCCAGAGGCTGTCGTCGATTCGAGGCTGAAGGTTTACGGGGTCGACGGACTCAGAGTGATAGATGCTTCCATTATGCCGACGATCAGCAGCGGGAACACGAATGCGCCGGTGATCATGATCGGGGAGAAGGGTGCTGATCTTGTGAAGGGCGATTGGCTGTCCTTCGGGGCTACGAGACGATGACGATCCCAGATCTTTCGGGGAGTTTCTTTGTTAATTGAACACGGTGAATGTTATGGGTTGGTAGTGTTCGTTGTTGAATTTAATTTTAAGAATGAAATCTTTGTTGATGTGTACCTATGCGAATTGTTCTCGTGATGCGAATGACGGTTGACGATCCGCGGTGCGATACTCGGAATCATCGTAGGTTTTAAGACACGTTTTGACTTCTGTTAGTTAGGAGTTTTACAAATAGGTTTTTGTACGTTGAATGTGAAACTGGAAACGGTTTCTCTCCGTTGCTTTGAGTTTCTCGGAGAATTCACTTCTTAAATAAATACATATTTTCAAATCTGAAGACGTTTTGTATCTTAACATTTGTATATTGTATATAGTACGGACATTTTTTATATGAAATTGTTCTCTGGGATCTTCTGCGGAAAATCATGCGAGTTACTGTTATACTCTGGATACGTAAATATGTTTTAATAACGGTTTAAAGTGGAAAGGACACTTGAAATCAGCAAATTTTTGCTGATACTTTTCAATTTATTTTGAAAGCTAAAGGTATAGGAGGACATTTAACTACGCCACGCGATAGGCTAGACAATTTTACAATAGAAGGCCCTAAGAAAATCTGCGAAGCACATTTATTCGTTAACACTGAAACGAAATAGTTTAGAGAACACAGAGCGGCGACAGTGGTTCTCAACGCGACCGGTAGCCTGTTTTGTCGTTCTCCGATTATATCATGATCTTCCAGTATTGAACTAGTTGTTCATCGACTATTTACTTGTAGAATAACTAATGGTATTGAGTGAAACGAGTAAACTGTTAATGATATTGCACTTCATTTTTCAATTTACCTTTGTAGCGAAACCAAAAACTGTCTGAAATTCGAATAAACTTGATTCTATCTCAGGTAAACTCCGCTCTCTACGTGCCATACACTGTTACTTTAATGTTGTAAAACTGTTTGTTAAATAAAGGCCCGTAAACAAACCAGACAGCGCGTACTTATTTTTCACAGTATACGTTAAATGTGCCCAATAATATGGAGCGTTCCCAGTAGGAGCGATTTACGAAGAATCATAAAGATTTCTCGACGCAAATCCCGTTGACACTGATTCATGCGTGGACTTACGTTTCTGCAACGAATTGCATGAAATGCAGATATGTCAGTTACCAGTTTCCGCAATGGCTCACGAATGCCTCGAGCGAATGATGCGCGTCAGAGAACGTTCAAGAAAATTAACTCGTACAGATAAATATATACAAATTGCTTGCCGTTCAGATACAAGAAAAAATATACGAAACAATTGAAACGAACCCCTGATTTTAACACGAAACTAGAAACCTTTTAAGAAACAGATAAAACCTTTTAAGAACACCTACCGATCTCTCTCAGTTTAATATATTCATACATGATCAACGATGAAACGTTAAATGAATTAACGGTCACTATAAATATTTATATTGCATAGTGGACGTAATTGCTTAGGTGCGGCAAAATTTTCCACAATGCTGTACGTCTGTATCTTCATGATTACAACCAAAAACCTCATAAAATACTGCGGGTTTTCCGAAAACATGAGCTGTGGTTAGAGGTTCTTACGAAATGCCGGTTCACCGACTAAATCCAGTGTCGGTTACCCGAAAAAATTTCTTAAAGTCTACGTGGACTCGATAGCTTTACGAGATCACATCATATGACGTGTAACGCTTTAAAAAGGCAAAAAACGAACAGAGACGCGCTGTATTGATGTATATATACCGCGTGCAGCGATCATTTCCAATTTTCCTGCTAGAAATCTTCCGGCATGTATGCGAACAACAGATCGATCTGCACTGCGAGGTGGCTTCTCTTCCTGCTGGTGGTTCACCGTTCAATTTCCCAGCCGCAGCAGCAGCAGCAGCAGCAGTCGTTCGTGGACGCCGGACAAAAACGATACAGAAATCTCTATGGCTCCGAGAACTTCAACTCCACGATAACGGAGAACATACTGGCCGCGAGTATGGGCGCGCTGAATTTCCTCCGCGACAATCAGCAGTTTCTGCGGAATGCCCAGCCGGATGTGTCGCCGTCACAAAACGCCCAGTACGATTTCATCGTGGTCGGTGCTGGAACAGCGGGTGCAACGATAGCCTCCAGGCTCACCGAGGTCAAAGACGCGAAGGTGCTGCTGATCGAAGCGGGTCCCGATGAGACACTGTTCATGGACGTGCCGTTGCTATCGAATTTCTTGCAAGAGGTGGACCAGATCAATTGGAAGTACGAGACCGAGCCGTCGAGCAAATACTGCATGGGGATGAAGGGTCGCAGGTGCAAGTGGCCCAGGGGCAAGGTGATGGGCGGCAGCAGCGTCCTGAACTACATGATAGCTACCAGAGGCAATCCGGCCGACTACGACGACTGGGCTAAGCGGGGCAACCGTGGCTGGGCGTACAAAGATGTCCTGAAGTACTTCAAGAAACTGGAGAACATGCGAATACCCCAGCTGAGGAACAACACGAAGTACCACAGCACGAAAGGTCCGGTGACCATAAGCCACGCGCCCTTCCGATCGCCGGTGTTGGCGGCGTTCCTGCAGGGTGGCGAAGAACTGGGCTTCCCTCTGGTAGATTACAACGGGGAGAAGCAAATCGGGTTCTCGCAGATCCAGTCGACCACGAACGAAGGATACCGGATGAGCAGCAACAAGGCGTACCTAATGGGCAAGTGGCGGGAGAATCTCCACGTGACGAAGATGAGCATGGCGCAGAAGATACTGATCGACAAGAAGAGCAAACGGGCGATCGGCGTACAGTTCGTGAAGAATAACCGACGTTTCACCGTCTACAGTAAGAAGGAAGTGATACTATGCGCGGGGACGATCGGCTCGGCTCAATTGTTGATGCTATCCGGGATAGGGCCTGCCGAACATTTGAAGGAGCTCGGGATCCAGGTGATCAAGGACCTGCGGGTCGGTGACAATGTCATGGACCACATAGTGTACGGTGGATTGACGTTCATGAACAACCAGCCGGTCTCTACGGCTATATTCGATATTGCGGACATTAGGCATCCGTACGTCAAAGACTATCTGATGAATCGGAAGGGTCCGTTCACGATCACCGGCGGCTGCGAGGGCATCGCGTTCATCGACGTGGACGACCTACGGAATCGCGACGGGCTTCCGAACATGGAACTGATTTCCCTGTCCGGCTCGGTTTACTCGATCGGCGCCTTGTTCGACAATTTCGGCTTCGATCAAGAAATACGCGACAAGTTCTCGTCGCTCCAGGGCAGATACGCTCACACTATATTCCCGATGCTGTTGAAACCGAAGAGCCGCGGCTGGATAAGACTGCGGTCCACGGACGTGAACGTGAAGCCGCGGATCGTCGCCAATTATCTCGATCATCCGGAGGATATTAGGATACTGATAAAGGGGATCAGAGTGGCGATGGAGGTCAGCAATACGAAGGCTATGAGAAACCTTGGCGTCACCTTTCACAATAAAACGGTGTCCGAGTGCGAGAAGTATCCATTCGATTCGGACGAGTACTGGCTGTGCAATATTAGGATGCAAACGTTGACCATTTACCATTACAGCGGCAGTTGCAAAATGGGCCCTAGGAGCGACCGTACGGCTGTCGTCGATCCAACTTTGAAGGTGAGTGCGTGTATTAACATTAGATTTTCGGAGTGAATTCCACTGATATTCGATTTGGTAAACGTTGTTTAGTGATATAGGGACGAACGCGTAGTTCTCTAGGAATAATAGAATAAAGTAGAATAAATCTCCGTAAATCTAGCGTTAACGACTGTTTTTATTTTCTCGCGTTATGTCTTAATGACGCACTGTTCGAGGTAAATACTTAGCTACCAAACTTGTTGGATAAATCACACTCATGAATATATTAATGCACAATGAATGTTGCTCCTCCAAACAAGCATGAATTAAACATTACGTTAAAGGATTATAATTGATGTGTCCCATTCGAAAAGAAACCAACGAGTAAACAATACTAATTAGAGTCCGAAGTTGACGCATTATTATTGTATTATGGTAAAAAGATATATAAAACAATCGGTTCGGCTGAACTCTCTTAGAAATCAGATCAGGAAACGCACCTGAAGTATTACCATTTTTTTACATGTTCACGCGAAGACCTCAAGATTCGAGATTCACTTTAAAACGCGATGACTAAACTGACAGAGTAACGCAGAAGGAAGAAGACCGTGTGAAACGAATTAAGACAAACAATATGATAATATACTACGATGGAACCGGAAACTCTAAATTACCATGATAATCGGTTGTATTGAAGTTTATAATATAAATATAACTTAATTTGCATTCGACGTGCTATTTTTACGCTGCTCTCATGGCTGATTTACATAAACGCCATGTAAATAAGTGAACGCCAATAAATCACCGCGACGCATCATGGTTTGGAACCAAACAGAACCGGACGACAATCGTACATGCAACGATTAAGATATTGTTGGTCGATAAGCTGATCAAGAACGAGAAAGAAACACGGTTACGGCTACTTTATCAATGTTGAGCAATTAGCTTTCATTCCAGTTTCATCATTCTTACGGCGCGGATACCGATTAAAATTTATGGGCTGGTAAAATAGGAGAAAGTCATTCTCGTGCCTGTTACCTTGACACATTATTCGCATGAATTTTTGTTCGCTGTTACAGGTAATCGGAATTAACGGACTGAGAGTGGCGGACGCTTCCATAATGCCGGACATTCCGTTGGGGCACACCAATATACCAGTCCACATGATCGCCGAGAAATTATCGGACATGGTAAAACAGCAATGGAAATATCCAATTACCTAACTACCGACGAACCTACTAGTCGCTCAGAAGCCAATGGGGTTACGTCCAGAAAAGAAAAATTCCGAAAATTCATATTCTGCTTCTGAAATGATTATACGACATATTTAGAAGCTATAGGAAGGGCTCTCTTTTAGAAGAAAACGAAGAAACGAGTAAACCCTTGAATAACTAAAAAGAATACTATTTATTCCGTCAAAATCGAAAAATCGACCGCACTGGCTTCCGAGCGACTCAATTTACGGATCGGTGACAGTGTTGTGGAGTACGTGCTGTATAGTATACCAGCGTTCACGATCGACATTGCGAATACCATCGATTGGAGTTCGAAGATATGCAAAAACGGAAAAGCGACTTCGCTTCGGTTTATTGGTGGTAAGAACGCGTTGCTCGCTTTAATTGTGATCTCGAGACCAGCGAAGCGTGCAGGCTTTCCGAGTTCAAGCTAATTTTATTGTTCGTCGAAGACCGAAGCCATTAGCGGGGAACATTACTTTAAACTTTATAGAACTTTTATAATCCGTCCGACAGTAATTCAACGATTCCTCGGTACTTTCTAATTGCGGGAAAATGCGTAAGGAATGAACATTTATTAGACTATAAATCCGTTTTGCATACGAAGAAGGAGATTTTCAGATAACATTTCGCGGAAGTCGTAGAGAACGATTAACCGAATACACTCGAGAGGAATAACACAAGCGACGGCTGAAGGACCGAACAATAGAATCGTGTCTGCCGGCGCGTCGCTCGTGACACGCGCATCTCGTACGAACAAAACGATGATTGACTGGAGGAAAGGGCATTACGACGCGGGGCGAAACAGGGAAAACCGTAGGATTACGTTTAACGGTGTTCGTTAATGCATTCATTCTATCCACGGAAATCTGACCGTATCGCCGCATTTCCGGAAGCCCGATGTGTCGCAAATCACGGGGCCCATAAACACGGCGATGGGAGTTCCGCGGGGAGGGAAAAAATTAATCCAAGAATTAGAAAACTGTTTTAACAACTTTATCAATTGCAGGCATTAAGCTTTCTCCCCAGTTCATTATCCGCGTGCTATAAATAATGATAAACTTTTATGGCTTGATAACACGGTAGAAAGCGATCGGCGGGCTCTGTTCTTTTCGAATGTCATTATCGTGAATATTTAGAAACGTTACGAGCAATCGGGATCGAAGGATCGAGAGGGGGAGCTTCAACAATTCCAGAAATTCCGACGGCGCGCACGAGCATTCCGGTGTTTACGATCGCCAAGGAATCGCCAGACGCGATAAAAGAAGAACGGGGATGTCTGGCGACCTAATTATTGATCGATATATGAAGTAGCCGCAAATAATTAACTCTACCTCTTGAATATTTCCGACCGTAATGCCTCGAAAATATTTGAATACCCGAAGAACGCTTTAAACGCCGGAAAAGAAGAGAACTGTGCCTGTACAAGTACCTTACCTCCATTTCCCATAGTATGTAATTAAAGTATCGCACGCACCTCTCGACGTTAGGAGGTTTAAAATACATTGAATTATAATTTACCACGCGTAAGTACTTTCTCGATGCAAATATGCCGTAGCTAATTCATTCGAATAGAATTTCGACTCGAGACACACGGAATTCCTTTTCAATTTCCGATTTCTCTTTCGAATCTAAATTGCTAACGAATTTGAAACTTGTTATATAATACGGGTATCGGCGTGCGCGACGGCGACGGACTCATCGACGCCGTTGAGCCGAAGTTCGTCAACTGAAACTACTTGACCGTTACAGGTCGTTAATTGCTTTAAAACGCTTGAAACGTAATTGGTACCTAATAAGCCTTTGGTTGCTCCCCGGAGCTTTCATTGCCCTTTCGATGCACAAGGTTGTTTCAAGGTCATAGGACACACACTATGATGTTCAACGGGGAAACGAAAACAAAAAAGCTCCAGCGACCTTGAAACAATGGATTTTTATTTGTTCATTGGACAAACAAACGATTCCCCTCGAAATGACTTCATCGTCTGGCTGTAAAATAAAACGGTCTTTCACTTCGTTTTGTATGTTGCGTTCGATGTAACGCTGTCCAACTATTTCGAACGAACCGACTGGAATAAGAAAGTGCATGTTTACTCCTCGCAGGTTTGAGTTCGCCTAAAGATCACGGTAGGGTAATTGCACTGGGTTACGCTTGTGTTTACGATCAGGCGAACGTTAGCAATGTCCTACTTGAACCGACTCCGCCGTCGGGTTTTTTCGTGTGAAATCTACCTTTGGCCGGTTCTGCTACCGGCACACCTTGTGTATCCAATATATAAAAGTGAAACGTGAGCGCGATAAAACGGATGCACGGCATAACAGAGAAACCATGAGAAGGGGTCGACAGAGTCCAAGTTAACATTACTCAAGCCCGGTAAGTATTACGTGAACGCCGGCGAGAAAGCGCATTTCTCTGGTGGATCTCGAAGTGGAAAGTGGACACCGGGTCGTCAGAAAGAGCTTCGGCAGCCTCGCAGACAGCACATCGCGCGGGGACCAGCCATTAGCTCGTTAAACGCCCGAAAATACTGGTAATTACGCTTCGGTAACAATACCCGCCGCTACGAAGGTAACGCGCGTCACAGAAACGACGACGGAATTCCTAAGTTAGTGCAACCGAGATCCTTTCATACCAGAACTATCGAGCGATAAGATTGAGCTGTTTATAATTCGTTATCACACTAGGGAAACAGATTTAAGATTCGAAGAGCTTCCTATTGCTGCATAAATGCAGGAATCTAGAGATTTCTCACGAAAGCACCTTTGTCATCTTGATAATGGCGGAACAGGAATCTCGAAGTCAGCCATTTTGACGCGTCCGGTAGTGTTAAGAGCATTCGACGTTCGGATCGAAGATAAACGTAATCCATTTTCAATAGGCTTGCAGATGTCGACTATGTTGTAATTGATCGTGACGGATTAGTCGTTAATTCGGTGTCTTAGTTGCGAAGTGTTTATTCAGAATTGTACGGGAAATTTTTCAGATAAACATCGTTGTGTCTGTTACTTCTATAGTCATCAGTGTGGAATGAGAATTTTTTAAAGGAAACTGAAGATTCTCTTGTCAAAATAAAACGAACTGAATGTCTATCGTTTCGAAATGTACGTGTATGTGATGTTTTCTGTAGACGTTTAAATAAATTGCTCAGGAACCACTGCGGTTAAGTCGATCCTTCGATATTTCCTGATTTCTGTAAATTTCAATGAAACAAAGAATATTCTTTTTACTCATTAAATGACTCACTCGTTCGAAAGCCCTCGTTCTAATCATTTCACAAGCCGAAACATGAGTTTTCTCAATTTTTCTTCTCCGGGCTCAACCGCATTGGCTTCTGAGTGACTCAAGTATCTATTAAAATATTGCTCGTATCGAAATCGTAAGACAGGAATTGCCGAACGTAAATACCACTCAGCCAGCACCGCTGATTTCTTATTCCGAACGCACAGGCGAGTCGTTTGTCCGCATGCCAAAGATGAAATGAGATAATATTCGCGAGTCGGAGATCCGATTCGCCAGAAGAGAATAATAAAGTTTGAGCAACGAACGATTGAAAATTCCCAGTTCAGCCGTGAACGCGGAGTTCTTTCACGGTCGCATTATTCCGCGGTAATGTGGCGTGCCCTATTGCTTCTTTCGCTCTGCTGCAAGAATTTCGTAATTGTATTACGAGAAAAAATCCGCGTTCGGACGCCAATGCCAACCGCTTTTAGAACGACGTTATTTCGAAACATTAAACGCCTCATTCGCATGCTACTCTACCAGAAAAATCGTGTACTTGTACCGCCGCTGCGAGAATTCCGCACTCCTACGGAGATATTCAGTGCAGTTATAAATGTGGAGTTCTCCTAAAACGACGTTATTTTGCAGCGACATGGCGCGATTCATCTGCACGCTGCTCCTCGCGTCGCTCCTCGCCGCCCGTGGAGATTCGTTTTCGTTCCTCGAAACGATCAAGAATTATGGACCGTCGGCGAACGTTTTAAATAGAATCGATCCGAACAACAGACGATACGACTTTATCGTCGTAGGCGCCGGCTCAGCGGGCTCCGTTTTGGCTAATCGTCTTTCGGAGAATCCGAAGTGGAACGTGCTCCTGCTGGAAGCCGGGGGACCCGAGACGCTGCTTCATCAGATTCCGATTTTCGTTGGGTACTTTCAATTGTCGAACTTCAACTGGGGCTACAAAGTGGAGACGCAGAAGGACGCTTGCCTCGGAATGATTAATCGGCAGTGTTCCTGGCCACGAGGAAAAGCTTTGGGTGGCACCAGTACTCTTAATTACATGATTCACACACGAGGAAACAAGCTGGATTATGATATCTGGGCTGCGCTTGGAAATGAAGGATGGTCTTACAATGATGTATTGCCTTATTATATCAAAAGCGAGAAATTCGACGTGCCAGGTGAGACATGATATATTTAATGGATAACTTTTCATGCAAATAAGCTCGACTATATTAGTGTTCTTCTTTATTCTTTAATACCATGATTCACGGTGGTCATACAACTAACAGGTCATTCGCGGACTCAAAATAATCAATCGAACAATCGACCTATTCAATTCTAACGTTGAAAGACAGAGCTGCGATTCAAACTAAATTCGAACATCGTTTCTACCGTTACTCCAGTCTGTAACTATTCCAAGAACAGAATGATCACTTCGATTCTCCATCTCGCTTCCCAGGAATCAAGAACTCATCCTACCACGGCGACAAAGGCTACTTGTGCGTGGAGCACGTGCCGTACCACACGGAACTGTCGAAGGCGTTCCTGAAGGCCGGCCAAGAACTCGGTTACAAGATCGTGGACCCCAACGGCGCAGACCAAATAGGCTTCTCCTACATCCAAGCGAACTTGGACAAAGGGACCAGGTGCAGCGCCTCGAAGGCGTACCTGCGCGTGAACAGGCCGAACCTGAACATAGTGACCGGCGCGACGGTCACCAAGGTGTTGATCGACGAGAAGAAGCGCGCTTACGGTGTCCAGTTCAGTCAAAACAACCAGTCGAAGAGAGTGTTCTGCACCAAGGAAGTGATCCTCTCGGCGGGAACGATAGATTCCGCGAAACTGTTGATGCTATCCGGTGTAGGCCCCAGAGACCACTTAGAGGAGCTAGGCATTAACGTCGTAAAAGACTCGAAAGTGGGTTACAACATGTACGAGCACGTGGGTTTCCTCGGGCTGACCTTCCTAGTGAACCAACCGGTCTCCCTGCTGCAGAGCAGACTGATGAGACCCAGCGTCTTCGTGCAGTACTTCCTGCACAGGAACGGCCTGATGTCCTTGCCAGGAGGAGCGGAGGCTCTGGCGTTCATCAGGACGAAGTTCGCCATCGACAGCAGACCGGACGTGGAGCTTCTGTTCGTCTCGGGATCGATTCACTCCGACGGAGAGATACCTCTGAAGAAAGCCCTCAGGATAACCGACGAGCTCTACAACGCCGTCTACAAGCCCATCGAGAACCGAGACGCTTGGTCCATTTGGCCCATCATACAGAATCCCAGAAGCATCGGCAGGTTGACTCTGAGGTCCAAGGACCCGTTCGAACCGCCGAGGATGGAGCCCAACTTCTTCACTCATCCGGCGGACGTGGAGATCATCCTGGAGGGCATCAAGCATGCCATCAATATTTCGAAGACCCCGTCGTTCCAGAGGTACGACAGCAAGCTGCACGACATCAAGATTCCTGGGTGCACGACGTTCGCATTCGCCAGCGACGATTACTGGCGGTGCGCTATCAAGCACCTGCCGTCTATGATGAACCACGAAATCGGTACCGTCAAGATGGGGCCCAAGGACGATCCTTACGCCGTCGTCGACCCGAAACTCAGGGTGTACGGTGTTCAAGGACTGAGGGTCGCCGACGCCTCGATAATGCCTGCCATGCCCACTGGACACGTGAACGCCGGCATCTTTATGATCGGCGAGAAAGCAGCTGATATGATTAAGGAATCTTGGCAGTGAACGATCGAGCCGATGCCGATAAGATTTTGATCGATCGTGGTGTGACGGCTGAAACGTGTCCGGTGCAGGAATGAATTCGGTGCCATATAGATAACGCGCGAATTTCTTGGAATTTCGAACGTTCACCTGGCATTTCGAAATTTTCCGTTCTTTCTCGAAGGTGAAGCGAGGTTTAAACGAAGAATTGGAGCATAAATGTTTTCCTTGTAAATAGGCGAGACGTTTGCTCCGAAGAAGCACCGGGTTCACGTCTACACTCGATATTTGCTCTCGCGTCGTCGCGAGCGCGATCCACGAATGCCAAGGCCACGGGAGATATCGATGTTAAGTTTTCCTTATAGGAAACCTGATTTTCGTCACAATATTTGTGAAAGACAATTTTCCAAGAGAAATCCATTGTTTACGTTTCGTCGTTCGCGAGCCAGGATTCCCGGATACATCTTCCCTCCGTAAAGTCTCGCGCAACGTGTTGAACGGGGATTATTAGTTTGGAAATGACACAGTGAAATGATCCGTGTTGCACGGCTGTATAAATAGTCAAACGTAGAACATAGTCGAAGCGCGACGTTACAGGGGGAACACTGCGTTAAGAGTTATCCTGATAGTAAGTTTTTTGTGTGCGATGTTTGAATGGTTCTTGACGATGATGAACAACGTGGCCAATGAACACGTGTACGTAGAATGTTCTATAATAGGCTTAACGAGTGGAGTAAGAAGCTGTAAATGCGCGAGATAACTATTTCGGTGGAACAGGGTCGGTTAATCGGACAGAACTAATAGCTTAAAAGAGAGTAGCTATCACGCGCTGGACAAGCTCGTATTGGAAGGTTGTACGTTCACATGTCTTTCGGGAAAAGATTCATTATAGTTGATTGATTTTTCAGGCGGTTGAAGTATTTTCAGAGTAAACGAAGATGAACGATATTTTCAACGTTCACCGCTTGCTTTTGTGTAGGAACAGGAACAGTGTAACTGAAATTGTATGTATGTAATTCAGGGGAGAAACAATTTGACAAGTCTACAGATAAAAGTGTGATGTAAAAATCTTTGTATGATAATGATATGATATGTTTATAGTATATTATAGGATAATTAACGAATAAAATCATTCCGATCGAATAGAACATTTAATTTCTTTGAATCTCAATCTCTTTGTCATCTGATTACGCTATCAACCAAAATTCATAGTATATTATAGGATAATCAACGAATAAGATCATTCCGATCGAACAGAACACTGAATTTCTTTGAATCTCAATCTCTTTGTCATCTGATTACGCTATCAACCAAAATCGGACATTTCACACGTTACAACTTAATACAAAGGAATTAGTTCTCGCTCTATGCATCTTCCTTAGCAAAGAAAATAAACATAATTAATTAAAGTGTATGATTATAGTTTACGTTCGGTTCATCTACTACAAGTGTGAATGGCCGTTCTTTTATAACGAATACGATAAAATGCGAGTATCGGTTACCATTGATGAATCGCTCATTATTGTATTCAATGAGTTGCCAATCTCATGGTCATAATTCTTGCGTTATGTCTACATAACTATGCATACATACGAACACACTAGCTGCTTTACTTTGTAACAGCCAAGTTAAAAGAAGACGTACACAGCAGGAACTAAATCGCTTCGTGGGGGAAATCAGCAGACTGATTGTCAACGGTGGAGAGGAGGTTCGTCGTCTCTGGACGAGATGATGGAAATAGAAATGTTTTTTACCGCGCAGCAAAAATTGAAAAATGTGGTGAACCAGTCAAGCAACAATATTACATTCTGCTATTATGAAACTATTAAAAAAAAATCTAGTGAGATGATTCAACACCGTACAGTTGCAGTAATTCGTTACTTCGATGTAAAAACGTACTTATGCAACACACCAAGAGACTAGTTAGTAAAATTAGACAACATCCGTTGCTATAAATATCGATGACTGCATTTCTGTGACATTTGAAGAACATTGTCGGAATATTTGTCTCCAATTTTGTTCATGCATTTGTAACGTTTTTACATTTGTTGCATGCGCGTTCTTTAAAATTTGTCTTGCAACTATTTAGTAATTTACTGTATCGCATACTGGAATTAGACCCTCTCTTAGATGCTTAGTTTTCGAGATAAACTGGGAATATAACAATTGACTATAAAAATATACATTATATTTAGAAAGGTCCACAGAATAATGCTTCATGATAAAAGTTTGATTAACTTTTCTAACTAAAATACAACGAATGTTCAAAGTTGAGTCTAAATTCTTTTTAAAATCGGTTCTACGAGAATTGAAGAAAAGGGGGTTGCACATTTGAATTCGCCGAGTGAACCTTTTGTGACGGAAAACACTCGGTGTAGACCAACGTGAATCGAAAGTTCTAATTTATCCGCAGCTTGCGGGCTTTTCAGATAGTTATCGACTAAAATGAAGAGAAAAATACAATAAAGTAATCCACGAAGTTTGTTCGAACTTTTCCTTCGAAGGAAACGTTCGTCATGGAGGGTTAACCCTTTGACCTCTGTAGGCTCCAATATTGCACCAGTTATAATATTAAATATTTGAATGAATCTTAAAGAAACTACCCTAAAATTATTCGATTTTCACATCCAAATTTTGTACTAAGGAAAATAAAAGATCGAAGAAATGTTATAGCATTTGTAATTTTCGCTAGGAATATAAAAATCAGTTGCAGTTGCTGATAGATTACAAAACCACCTGGAGTGCTAAGGTTTAATTATTTTCAAATAAACATATCGATAACGAAGACGCATTTGACATTTGTTTAGCGTGAAACCCAGGTAATTGGGGTACACGTCAGTGTGATCGCATCAATGAAAATCGGCGTAAACATTTACAAAATAATATTTCTAAAATCCAATATGCGTCAATTTGACGCGTTCCGTAAACCTAGCGTTAAAGAGAACAATTCGATTGTCATATTTCGCGTTACTAATGGGCGACACGCAAGTTCCATTTGCGATACGCCGGCAATTAAAGTCGCTCCCTCTAGGAGCTGGCAATCGTGTAATATTCCCATGGAGCACAATAATTTCCCTCGGCGGATTAGGTGAGAGATAACAAATTATTTGCGTGCACGACACGCTGCGCAACAATCGAGTGACCCAGATCGTTATATGTTTCAACGAAAGGAAACTTTATGGGTAAAACCATGTCGGGAGTTCAACGGGTGACGTAAAGCGAGGGATGAGTCACGCTTCTTCTTTCGATACACTTCCGTGTAAGTCCCCTGACAACATTGCCGATCGAATAACTGCGCCATCGGAATTTGTTTACGCTTCTTTCCTGTTGCTCGATTAACTGCTAATAAGCTCCAACAGTGAAAGTGCGTTTGCGAAAGGATAATGGTAAAAATAATGATAAACAATGTCACTCTACAGAAATTCAGAATATTTTTTATCTCCTAAAGGTCTAATTGTCTAAGGTCTTTGTAGATCTTGAAGATCTTTATCTAAGGAAGTTGGTGAACCGTATTCTGCGAGAGATTTTCAAAATATAGGAAATTTGTGACTGTAGTATTCTTAATTCCTCGTGTTTTCTTTTGACGCAACATTCATTGGAACTTTCAAGTAAAAACAGCTCGTTGCATATTTTCTGCATGAAATATTTAAATTGCGTGTTAGTTGATAATGTATTGAACATTACAGACAATGGACGTGGCTTTGAATGTTTAGTTTCAATGGAGGAAAGTCAAGACGCATGTGACATATGGTTTGTCAATGTGTCTAATTGTAATACACTTTTCAAATATATTGAAACTACTGTGCTATTATCATTTATGCAATGGATATGAAAATGAAATGCAAATGGAAAAGAATAATGCTATATATAATGGTTATTTGAAAACATATTTAGTAGAATATTACAGTAGCTACTCTCACAACGTACACATTTATAGATTGTTAACTCCTTGACCTTATTTTCAATTGCTGGAATTGGGCTATGTACATGTAGATATGTAAGTTTATCAATTTCACCTTGAAATTATTCAGCTCTATTTCATTACTTCTTAATTACTTTTATGGCCACATTAAAGACATATTCATTTTCAGTAATATTGTCTTCAAATCGAAATTTAAATGTTAATCATGTTTGGTGCTGTAAAACTTATGACAACGTTTAATATGCAAATAATTTATTCTAGTCTACTTTGGATTTAAGATATAGAAGGTTAATCAATCGTATTACTATTAGTATTTCCGACCCTTCCACATATTAGTTTATAATTAATATAGAACTGGATGTTTTAACAAGCATATTTAATGTTTTATTATTTACTTACTCTTGGTTTAAGAGACTGTTACTTATATTTTACATCTCCCATATTTATGACACAAAAATATGTACATATAAATATCGCAACATAATTAAAGATACTTTTACCATGCCTGTCAAATACTGCTCCACTTGACAAGCCTGTGTACCATATGCAAATTAAAAGCACAATTACGTGAAGGATAAATTAAATCCACAGTAACAACATTTATGACATAAGTATTTCAAGCTTATTAACAAAATGTACGACTTACGATTAAATTATTTTTAGTACAAAAGAATTTTTGCAAAACGGAATAGCATCCGACCTTTTTGATCTTTCAAAGCCGGTAATATAAATAAAAATTTACAAAGCCGATCAAGCGTAGCAGCTCTATGTTGTTATATTGCATCGCTTGACTTAATCAACAAGAAACATATATTGTTCATTGATTTGCGTACCTGATACTACGAGAGCTTCGTTTGGACCACAGGTGTGAATGTTTCCCATTGTCGGATCAACTTTTCTTAACGAAGATGCAACAACAAACCGGCACAAGCAAACAATTAGCACTAAAACGGTTATCACTAACACTGATTTGTACAATAAATCGGCAGTAAAAGAATGAGAATTATTTCAAAAACCCCGGTAAATTATTAATAACATATAAACCGTATCAACCACGCGTCGTTAGGTTACGAAGCTACTCAAAGCCACTACCCAAAATTATTTGTAGCTTTTGCAAAACCCTAGCTTGTCACACTACCAACATACGAGCTTTCATGTACAGCGACATCTCGGAGTGACATAACTTTTCTATATTACTGACTTCTCGTATCTATTTATAATTTTTTAATCAAACAAATTTCCTCTTTGTAATTAAATGACCATTTCATCGCAAGCATATAAACTATATTTTTCTAGGATAGAAAATGTATTACACTAAGTATATGACATCTGTGATAAAGATAATTGTCATTTAAGATGAATTTAGTAGGATTCACCATTCTATTCGTAAAGTTATTGGTTGACCTGTAAAAAATTGATAAATTTGCATTTATTTTATAATTTTTACGTTTCAATGTAATATTGTAATTTCACTTTTTACTGACGAGATATAGATTTTGTTACGTAAAAACTTTCAAACTTGAAGGAAAAGTGTAATAATAAAAATTGTGAGTGGGCTTACGCGCAAGCATTTCACGGTTTGAAGGTTATCTCGTTTGTGTATGTTGGTAGCACTGTTCGAGTGGCATCAAGGAATGCAATTATAGCATATCCATAAGAATACAATAGAACATAACCTCTAGTATGTATTAAAGAGTTAATGTTGTTTGTTTGTGCGTACAGTACGTGACATATCACGTTCAAAACAGTAAAAATTGTTGGAAATCAATTTTATTCAACGTATTAATAAACTGCGACAATATGTCGGAAGACGAAGTAGAAAGTTTCGAAATTACAGACTACGATCTTGACAATGAATTTAATATTAATCGTCCCAGACGAAAATTATCTAAAAAGCAGCAAATGCTTGGTAAGATTTTTATGTTAATAATTTTGCTACTTTAGAAAATGATGTTTTTATATTTATTCTGCATATTGACTTCAAACGCTAATTGAAATTATATTGTTAGGTATTTGGGCGGATGATAGTGATGAAGATGAATTATCTGCTAGACCCTCTTTTAAAACCTTTGACAAAGGACCAAAGAATTATACAGCCCCTGTAAGTTTTGTAGCAGGTGGTATTCAACAAGCTGGCAAACCAAAAGAAGAGAAGGAAGAAAAAGATGAAGATGACAGTGATAATGAAAATACAAATAAATCACAAAGAGAATATCAAAATAGTTCAAGGTAACATCTTCAACAGAAATACTGATTCATTATTTGCATGAATGTTCTACTAAACTGTCAATTTCTTTATTTTAGTTCTGAAGATGAACGACCTAGCATGGCACCGTTACGTGCATCTTTTTCATCTATGAATACTGATGGAGATATCGCTGGTTTACGTAAAAAGAAAGCTAAAGTAAATCCTTTGCTTATGCAAAGTGGAATGGGTAGTTGGGAGGTCCACACAAAAGGTATTGGAGCTAAACTGCTATTACAGGTAATTTTGTAATAGTTATGTACCATTCACAGTTCTTAGCATAAGGATATATTTAAACAAATTTGTTAATTTTTCTAGATGGGTTTTGAACCTGGTAAAGGGTTAGGCAAGCAATTACAGGGTATAAGTGCTCCAGTGGAAGCACATTTAAGAAAAGGTAGAGGTGCCATTGGTGCTTATGGGCCAGAAAAGTGTCCAAAAGTACCAGAAAAGAAAAAAGAAGAAGATGCAGAGGAAGGGAAAGATTCTAAGGGCAAATTATCACAGTGGAGGAAAGGAGATGGTAATGCAGCAAAGAAGAAAGTAAAATATGTTTATCGTAGTGTGGACCAAGTTTTGGAGGATGGAAAATTAAAACCTAATAAGAAATTAAGGATGTCAAATGAAATCTTGAGTAAAGTCAAAGTTATAGATATGACTGGTCCAGAACAAAGAATACTTAGTGGATATCATGCAATAGCTGGAGGTCAACAACGACCTGATGAGAATGTTGTAATTAGTGACAAGAAATCCAAAGTTAATTTTGCACTACCAGAACTTCAGCATAATTTGAACATACTAGTAGATATGTGCGAACAAGATATTATTCAAAATGATAGACGAACAAGACATTTGAGTGACAGAGTAGTTGCATTGGAAGCAGAGAAAAAAAATATTTCTAAAGTTATAGATCATCATGCTCAACTTATAGATACTTTGGAAAATGTATTAGAAATAGTAGATAAGTTAATGGACGAGACCAACCAATTGACATTACAAGAGACTGCAGAAGCCTTCAAAGATTTGCAAGATAAATATTATGAGGAATATAAAATGTATGAACTTGGTGAATTGGCAAGTAGTTTTGTTGGTCCAAAAATAAAGGATTGTTTAATTAGTTGGAATCCTATAATGCAACCAAAACAACCTGTTAAATTGTTTGAACAATGGAAAAGTATTCTGGAAAGTGGTACCACTACCCTTCAAAGCAGAACTATGAATCCGTATGATCAACTTGTTTGGAATGCATGGATGCCATCCATCAGGGGTGCAATTCAGTAAGTTTCATTTCATCACATTCTGATAAAATAATAACCTTAAAAATGGAATAAAGTTGTAATGTTTACTAATTCTGATTTCAGACAGTGGGCTTGTAGACAATCGGATCCACTCATTGAATTAATAGAATTCTGGATGCCATTGCTTCCAAGTTGGATATTGGAAAATATTTTAGATATGTTAATTCTTCCAAAGTTGACCTTGGAAGTTGAGGAATGGAATCCTCTTACTGACACTGTACCTATTCATACATGGATTCATCCATGGCTACCATTATTAAGTATGTATATATTTTAATACATTTAGATTAATTTTTGCCATTTCTATTTACATTTACTAAATATTATTTATGATACAATATCGTTTTAGGAAATCGATTGGACACTTTAATATATCCAATAATACGACGTAAACTGGGTTCTGCATTGGGAGGATGGCATCCATCTGACAGATCTGCCAGGTTAATGTTACAACCATGGGCTAATGTTTTCGCGAAAGGAGATATGGAAGCCTTCTTAGTGAAAAATATTATACCAAAATTACAAATAGCACTTTCCGAATTTGTTATAAATCCACATCAGCAACATTTAGATCAATGGAATTGGGTGTACGAATGGAAAGAATTAATTCCATCTCACATTATGGCAAGCTTACTCGACAAATTTTTCTTCCCCAAATGGTTGCAAGTTTTGGCTTTATGGTTAAATCATTCCCCTAATTATGACCAAGTTACAAACTGGTACATGGGCTGGAAGGGCATGTTAAGTGAAAAAATACTTTCTGAACCGTTAGTTAAAGGTAAGTTTAATAAACAACGTGACTGAATCTATATGTACCATTTATGTGAATCTTAATAGCCGTATTTGTTTTATAGAACACTTTAAGAAAGCATTAGATATGATGAATAGAGCAGTTAGTGGTCCACAAAGTCATCAACCGGGAGCAATGGAGCAAGTTTCATACTTGACAAGTTTAGAAAGAACCCAGCCTACCATGTCGCAAATGCCGCCGAACGCTCAGCCAAGGATGGAGGTACGATTTAATCGATTGCATTTCTATTAGAATTCATTTCGAAATTATGCTTTTTCATAAATTTTACAATGACACGGTTTTCTTTCTTTCTACAGAGGCTTGCGGAAGCGGTGAGGACAGCATCGCAAATACCTCAAGGCTTTAAAGACCTTGTTCAAAAGAAGTGCGAAGAAAGAGGCATTCTATTCATGCCTATACCGAATCGTTACAGAGAAGCAAAACAAGTTTATAAAGTGGGCAATGTCCAGGCGTATATAGATGGAAATGTCTTGTTTGTATGTCATAATGGTATGAATTGGCTACCTACGCATTTAAACGCATTATTAGACATGTCTGAACTCTAGGAATGATTAAATTCTCGCTTTAGAATGTAATTAACATTAAATCCTGTATGTAATTATTTATTATGTACATATACTGTAAAGTATCTTGTAAGAAATGGCATTGAAAGTTGCATTATACAATGCGCATAATTTGTAAATGGATTGTCATTTTTTGTACGACCCGTGCTGTATAATAAATTATTATACCAGCATACCTATATATATATATACAGATATAGATATATATGCATATATGTAGATATTATACTCATTTATTTCACAATGAAGTTTCTACGCAATTCCGATTTTATATACTTTTATCGAGCGAATAAATATCGTGCGATAATGACGCAGCTATAAATAGTTGAAATAAATATCGTTCCCCATTTACATATTTTCTTTCTTTTATTATTAAAACAGTAGAATTTACTCTCCGCTCGTATAAATTCCTCATCGTAAGTTCTTTATATAGTCTCGCTGCGCGCATTATACCTACACAGCATGTATCGAGGCGCTCCATCTGAAGCATTGGTATTTATTCCATCCGAGAGGAGAACATCTCTTTTCTTCGATAGTACTCCCGGCATTCACGTTTCACAAATGCAGCCCCGTATTCGCGGATGTTTGTCTTATTGACCACTTCTGTTGAAAGTGGTCGAAGTCGAACGCGTGTAGGCGCCCCTGGTTATCCCACTACCGAGGCACAGCTATAAAACTCCTCAATATGGAAAGTTGCACGTAATCCTGTGGAGTTGTACGTATGTACCTACAGAGTCGTCCAATAGGCACCGTGTATCAACCACCACGATGTGTGCTGGCTCTGTATACCAACCATGGGCGCCACCATAGACGAAGCAAATATGTTTCTATAAATTTCTATAAATCCCACAGCCAAAATTACGAACCCTTTCAAAATTCAACGACCCATTCCTGGTACCATTTCATCCTAATTAATCAAATTCTCTATAATTTATCAAACTTCATACCGCAATATATTACTGTCATTTTATAATCAATAAAACATGTAGACAATAGAATCCAGAGATAATTATATCGTCATTTCATTTTCGTTTAAAACATCTACTTAGAAAGGGTTTACAAGTAGAAAGGACGATCGTGAACGATAAGAAGCTTGTCGAAAACTAATTTATTACTTGCCATAAAACGACTAACGAGCCTTCGCTTAGTAAACTATAAATAAGTATAACATACATTCTCACGAATACGTACATTTTAAAAATCTTACTAGTCGCTCTTTACGCAACACATGGAATAAATAATGTTTATATACTCCCGGCATTCGTCGAGTCATAAGAATGTTTACTTTCCGCAAACACAACAGAACAAAGAGTTTTCTTCGGGAAGTGATTGCTTTCCGTGAACAAACGAACTAAATATCTAGACTTCGACTTAGTAAAAGGCACATAAACATTTCGAATTCCTCTAGTAAGACAACGTCGGTCGATTTCTAGTCTGACAGAGCTTTATAATAATTTCTCCAGATATTACCGTTCGGCGTACGCGTATTTCCACGGCGTCGGGAATATAAGGTTTTCAAACGAAACTCCTTTGAGCGTTATACAGGCGGTTAGCTGTTTTTGCATTCCTCCCTCGAACGAATAAGTCTTTAGGTGACGCCTATGGCGTCACTACCAACACCATCTCGTCCGGCGCGAGTAGAGGACTGGTCCTATAAGAGGATGGACATCTCTCGCCTACACGCCTAACAGATCTGTGCTCTCGGGTGTCGAGGAAATTTGCATCGGATCGGAGTGTGTCTGCCTAGTAACTGGTTGCCTTCGCTGCAACGGACTCACGGCCGGATTCGAGACGGTCCATGCACTCTCCGGCCGTTCGCGTAAAAGTGTGCATGCAGTATGCATACGCGGCGCGGAGCACTTGTCGAACCCCGCCAGATCTTAACGTCTGTCCTGTACAGAAAGAGTCGGGGCTCGGTTGTCGCACGCCGCGGGAAAATATTAGGCCAACGACCGCGTTCGCGGGAAAAAATGAAGCAGCGCGCAACGGAAAAGGACACCGCGCGTGTCGGGCATTCTTGCATCTATTCATACTCCGGGGGAAGTTTCGTAATGACGGTTTCGCGGGCCGAGGGCTCCTTCTCCAGCGACTAATCGGTTCGACCGTCATTTTCGAATCTGTCTGTTTCCTTCGTATCGACGTATCTTCATGTTTCGAATGTTCCAAATTCCTGCGCTGGGAAGATGTATCACGTACAGATGTTGTCGCTCCAAAATTGATAATGACGCCTAATACGATGACATTGTTGCATTGTTACTAGATTGTTTTGAAATATATTAGTTTGTAGAAAATGATTAACACGTTGAATGCCATGGGGGTCACCATGAGGGTCAAATCGAATTACTATACTTCACTCAATTAAACGATGATTATTCGCAAACATTTCTATATTATGAATAATGCTACCCATTGCGGTGACATTCGCTTTGATGACGCTATGATAATAATCCAATTCAGTCAAATGATGAAATATTGTATTTTTTCCATTTTGTGTACTTTGCTAATTCGAGTGACTTTCTAGCGCAAGGGGTTGGAATTAACACTAAAACTACCGAACAGTTCAATTGACTTTTCTAAAATTCTCTATAGAAACTCTAAAAGTGCACACATTGTGACTTCAATTGATTTACAATTCTGTTTGGGTATTGCTGAATCAATTTCGCTAGTAATTTCTCAGAGACATCGGTTATTTTTTTAATAATCGTAAAAAGAAGAAATCAGGGATGGGTGATTTTGACCCGTCTGGTGGATTTAGCGTTAAACACTTCTTCAAAGCGTGTGGTAGGGATTAGTCGGGTTGTCGACGTACTGTGAACAATTTCGCGCGACATTAGAATACCTGAAACGGAAACAGTCTTGCTCAATCGCTGGCCGATACCTGTGGTCCTTCTAACTCGGCTGCGGATATTTATGCGTACGTAAAGTTTTATGGAGCCATTTATGGAAATTGGAGTGAGATAGACATTCGTTTAGGACTCTGATGAATTGGGAACGAAACGAGAATTTGTTTAAAATATTGCGAACCTATGGTCTCGTTGAATTATCGACGAATTATCAAGGACCATCTTTCATTGTTTGCTGATCGATTGTATGGGATTATTAAGAGAACGAGTTATATTAAAATTGTTAAGAATTATGTGACAAATGACCAAACTTTGTGGCTGTCACTTTGATAACTTTATCGTTTAGCAGAAAATTGTTCAAGCTAAGATGATGATTAATTTTATACTCATTATAGATACACCCTGTAGTATAATATTCCAATTTATTTATTAAGCTTTTAAAAATTATTATCGAGTCTCATTTTGTTGCAAACGTTAATATCTCGCAATGCGCACGGACAAAGTTCAACAAGGTATCGAGAATGTCACGGTAGATAAAAAACATAATGATACGTTACACTAATATCGATGAATAACGACTACAATTGTCCGGCATTTACGCGGTATATCCGTTTGTGGTTTCCTTCGGGCATTAGTCGATATAAAATTGTTCAAAGTTTCATAATTTCATTTGCTCCATTTGGTTGTAACTGTGAAAGGCTTTACGCTCGCGGACCGCTCATACGACTGTTCACTCAAGCGTGGATGTAATTTCGGTATTGATACAGATTGAATTTGAAGGAAGTGAAATTACCCGAGCAAGCCGAGGCTGTTTAATAGCAGCGCCATTGAGATTGCGCCATCGTATCGCGGTGAATGAAGTCTCTCCTTGATAACAGGTGAAAGAACGTGCCCCGCGCCCATCGTTGCCACCGTGCGTTTCCATTGCAACGCCTTTATACACTCGAAGAATCGAAATTTCCTGGAAGAGAGTAATGGCGTTCCACTTACGATAAAGTAATTCCGCTCGGGTCATTATTACGAGGAAATTTGCATGCAAAAAACCTGTTATTTTACTCTGTTATAGTTGCCAGCGAGAAGCCTATACGTGTTTTCTCTTCGCGTATAAAGTATTGCGAGACACTCATTGAAACGATTAGAATAATTTACAGTTACACGTACGGTCAACGTTGGGAAACTGCGGAATTTCTCAATTTAATTTTCTTCCCATAATCGTGGAATCTCTCTCTTTCTCTCTTTCTCTGTAACCGTTACGATTTATTACGAAATAAATAAGCGAACGATCGTGGCTGTCAGTGGAAGGAAACTCGACGAATTTCCACGGATATTTAACTTCTCGAGGTTAGGCGGGTTAAAAACTGTCCCACCCTTTCCTTACCTCTTTATGCATATTTCAACCAACCTAGAAAACTTGAAGTTACTCGTAGTTGTACAGTTTAATATTTTACTTAAAGTTTTCCATCCAGTTGGCAATGCTACGAACTAACGATAAATGCGTAAATAAGTAAACAACAATTTGTACAGGTCGAAACGAATTAGTAAGTTGTCGAGACTGTTGTGATTTGCCAAATTGCGTGTAGTGAATTCTGTGCAGTAAGGGTTGTCTTCTCGAACCCTTTGCACTCGAGGGGTGACCCTCATTTCAAAATTTGATATTTATTATTATACCTCGTATAACATATAAGTTTGAGAAATATTGAAATAAATTGGCCTTGTTCCTCAATGTACGTATTTCTCTTCCAGTTAGTTTCATAAAACATCGTCTTTATCTCATCAGAAAATATTCAAATATTTCCACTGAAAGACTGCCGAGTGCAAAGGGTTAAACGAGAGGACGTTCGGGACATCGATTCCGAGTACGATGGAATTATAAAGGGAAGACACGCGAAGAACGATTCCTTATTATCGTGGAAAATTCGCGGCGCGTAAATAGTTCATTAGCGAGGTCGATGGCCTGAAATAGACGGAACATTCGCAGACACATGTTTTCAGGAAAACGTGATCGCGCCCAAACATTCCAGTCCCACGCAAATCGCTGTCAAAGTCCTTCCACGAAATGCCAGGTAGGCACTCAAACGCCGGGACGGTCGAACGTCAAAACAATTTAGCGATCGATATTCGTCGGTCGCGATCGCGTTCCTAAATAGGTAGAAAGTTATTTATAACACCGGAACACGTCTCATAACAGGCGGCAGTTTCTACGAAAATTTACGATGCGAGGCGTATCGCGGGGCATGTAATGATTTGTGGCGTATCGCTGATATTACGGAAGAAACTCGACGCCAGCACGGTTTCGCGTTTTGTTCACCAGGGCCGATTAGATCGCGGAAAAATCGATGGGGGGCTTTTCTCTGCCGAGGAAACCGTAACTTTTGGCTCGTCGCTCTTTCGTTGTCAACGCGTTCACTGTCGGGAGAATTTTGGATCACTCACTCGTACGGACTATCTTTGTTT